TTAATATACTTAAAATTAACTTTAAAGTGTAAGTAAAATTCCTTCTAAATTTGGAAGGAAAACCATTGAAGGGATAAGTTCAGCCGAATATTAAATCGTATATTTTGCAAGATCAGCTGATCAAGAATCAATGAACTTTAACTTATTGGATTTATCTTGTCATACTGAGTCGAATGGTGGGTGTTTCATAAGAAACAGAGTGATATTAAGTGAGATCATGTATAGCTAAATTTATTAGATTTTTGTATATAATTAAATTATGTGATATTTCGGATATACAGTGAGACCTTTTTAAATGCATTCTCCCTAAATGCACGCATATATATTTTTTCTATAAATGCATATTCTACACAGCTCCAAGTATATAAAGATCATACAAAATTTCTCTTTTTAAATGCACACCCTTCTTAAATACACATTTTTTCAAATTTTCATTATAGTTCTAAGGGGGTGCATTTAGAGAGGTCTCACTGTATACCCTATTGTAAAGAAACAGGTTAAACAAAGATAAGCTCTGAACACACAACGGCCTCACTTTCCAAGTCTTAATAATTGCAATTGTATTAACAAATACTGTAGATTTAACTATAATTATATTTTAAAAACAAAAATTACCCCTAATTACTGAAAATCATTAATAGAATTAAAATCATTTGAAAATCAAAAGAATTTAAAAGATATTCTTTTTAAAGTTGTAAGGTTTTATTTATCACTTTGCTAGTTGCGAATTATATTAATATTGTTATTGATGCAAATTATGCGATTTAACAATTTTTCCAAGGAACTTTTTATTTGGTGTAGTTACAGTTGGATTGATCCAATCCAAATGATTTGTTCTAATTGGTGTACTATATTCAGCTTTATCCAGATAATCTATTGCATTTTCCTGTAAGTTTTACTTTACAATCAATAACTTTTTTTTTAAATTAAGTATAACAATAAAAAGTTATCCTGATACTCATCAAAGTCTGATGAAGTTTCATGATTGATTCTAGTTCACGAACAGAATTTGAGATTATACAATTGGCTACTTTAACCATTAGATAAATTCCTGGATACTGAAGTTTTATTACACATACTACCATTTTATACCTGTTTATAAAAATTGCTAGCTTTTTCCCAGATGATAGTTGAATATTAAATTTCTTAATATCATAATCAATAGCATCCTTGGCATGTATTGAAGCCCTGTAAATGTCTCAATTAATTTTTTTTTCTTCATCTTCATGTTTAGGGCTTGTCACTTCTAAAAAGACAGATGAACGAGTATTTTTTTGATTGTTGAGCGTATAGTCTGAAATTCTACCATCAGCAGGACTTTTACATAATTTGAAAGCTTTAGATTCTATACTAATCCTATAAAAAATGAATCATAATGAATCAATTTCTTTGAAAATTAACTGAAAATATACAAAAATCAATATATCATACCATAAATGAATATTAACATAATTGAAATAATGAATAGTTTTATTAAAAATAGATCCCAAGTAATCCATAATATAATTTGCTTCGTTTAACTTTTTCATATCAATTAAGGGATTCCATAACACATACTCTTAAGTAATCTAAAAAAAGTTTTATTTATATATCCATTTTGACTTATTGAATATTCCTTGATATATTCTTATTTTTGCTAAATGCTGATCGTAATATCGTTATCAATGATAATCATATAAGATTCAAAAATCAATCAAAAACGTATTCATAAACTCTCTCCTCTATGTATTTGTCTGCACACAAGGCAACTAGAAAATTTGGAATCTCATCAGACACCTTATGTCATTGGTTAAAGTAAGAATTAATTACTGCTAAAACGTCTCCTTCTGATACTTACCTTTACAACGTATCTTCCATTTTTCCAGAATTGACTTTCTAAGATGCCAATTACACCATCACTGCCGTTGCCACTACCACCAAAAAAGGAGTTCTTTATGTACAGGCCTCTAATATCAAGCAAAAAGAGGATCTTGAATGGCAGAAACAACTCCTCAGATCCTGATACCCAACTTACAAACTCATCAGCGATATTGAATCAGGGGTCAACTTCAAACGACTGGGACTTAAGATCTTATTGGAATGAATAAGTTGCAGAATGGTCTCAGAAATTGTGGTTATCCATCGTGACTGACTTTGCCGCTTTACCTTTAACCTCATCCAGTATATACTCTCCCTCCATACTACAAAATATGTTGTTCTCTTCAATGATGTGATATCCGACGAGCACAAACTTTTTCAAAATATCTGTCAAATGTAAGGAAAAAGAGCAACTATGCATCGAAGAGAATGGAAAGTGAAAAATGACAAAAACAATAAACACATGAAGCAAAAAAAAGGAAAACTAAAATAACTGTGAATCGAACATTATCAATCAAAACATATCCGAATCATTCATAGAACAAGATCCTGAAAAAATGGCTTGGGTTAATGAGATATGCTTATAATACTATTGTTAGATGGAACAAAAATCATATAAAGCCTTAAACACTTAATGAAAAACTTAAACTATATGTAAATGTAAAAATAGGAAAAGATCCTGATGAAAAAGACAAGAAATTACAGAGATTATGTGTATGGGAAGAGCGTAAATTTCTTCGAACGGTTGTATGGTTAGAATTATGTCTTAGAAGTCTACATAATGAGGTACCTGCAAATGTGATTGATGAAAGTATTGATGAAGCTTTGGTGGCTAGAAAAAATGTTATACAAAAAAATTTAAAAGCTACTAAAAAATCATCATTATCTTTTAAATCTAAAAAGGAT